GCACATGCTGCGAGGGGACCATGAGGGCTTCAAGCTGCCAAGCAGCATCCCCAGGGCTGGGCAGCTGCCTGCAAGCCCCTCTGGTGTTTGCATCCCCCCAGCCCCTCTGCTGTTGGCACAGTGGGTGGGTGCAGCGCAGGGCGGCTGGTGTCGGGCAAGCTTGCTGCCTTATAAAGTCATTAAAATAAAAAAATAAACAATCTCAAACAACTCAGAGGGCCTCCAAACAAGCTCCTGATGCTGCAGAGGAGGAATGCAGCAGGCTGGCCATGGGGCACCCCAGCAGCACCCCATGCCAGTGATGGGGGCTCAGCAGCCCTGGGCATGCTGCCGGACACAGGGGCCACTTGTTGGCATCGGCCGACGGGCGGGAAGGAGGGCAGCCAGTGGGCTGGGCTGCACCGCAGCCGCACAAGCCCAGGGCTGTTCGGGCAACAAGGAGCCTTCACTCCCCGGCTGTTTTTCCACCGTCAGAAAACCGGTGTAGCCAGGGCGGGAAGGGGCTGCAAAGACAGAGAGCCTTTCAGGGGGTGCGCGTGTGTCTGCACGGGGCTCTCCTGGCACCCGCTCTGGTAATTAAAGAGCTGCTTTAATGAATTCCAGTCCCCTCCCTGCAAACACACACGAGCCACCAGCCCTGGCCCCCACCTGCCCCCCACCGCAGCCTGAATGAAGCCTTGTTGAGTGGCCAGCCCCTCCCCGGCACTGTGCCCCCTCTCCCCAGGCAGGGTTTGCTCTGCTCCTTCCTCCTCAGCCTCAGCATCCTCCTCTGGGAGTCCTTGCAGCCCCTCGGGGACTCGTCTGTATCCCCCACGCACCGATGCACCTCCTCACGCACACCCCAAAATGCATCCAGCTGCAGGCAGGGCCTTCCTAAGCTGGGGTAGGAGCCTGAGGAGGGGGGAAGGCATCCACCCACCAGCTCACGCTTCCCCCGTGCACAGCCAGGAGATGTCTCCCCGCTCTGAAAAACCATCACGTCCTGCGCCGGTTCGCTCTGCAAACCCTCATGCTGAGCCTTTCGAGAGCTTTCCCTTGCCTGGGCCGGGAGTTGGCTCCTCTGTCCTCCTACGTGCTGGAAAGGAGGTGGGAGAAGTTTGTGTGCTGAGATGTTAAAACATGGAGGAAAGCCCAAACTGTCCCCATTGAGCCCCAGAGCACTCTGGCAGGCCCCCAGCCCAGAACCCCCAGGCAGACGGGGATCCCTTCCCCTCCGCAGCGCTGCTCCCCAGGCTGCTGGGGCCGGCTCGCTGAGGGAGCTAGGGTGCCAAAAAACTCCCTGAACACCAAAACCCAGCAACTGGAGAGGCCAAACACGCCGTGTTTTCAACCGGAGGAGCAGGGGGAGAGGGCCAAAGAGTCCCAGACCCGGCGCGTGGCCGGCGGCTGGGGCGGGTGCCGGGACGGGTGCCGAGGCAGCGCCGGCTCACACAGAGCCCTCGCTTGTTCACTGGCCCCGGGAGGAGCAGAGCACGCCTGGGGCCTCTGTCCCAGCCCCTTGCTCAGAGCTTTTGGCTCATCTCGTTGTTTTTTTCAATGCAAAAAAGAAAAACCCCAAATGACACTGCAGCCTATAATCTGCTGGCTGCTGGCCGGCTGCTTGGAAACTGTGACGGAGGCGCCTCTCGCCTCGGCAACGCCTTTCCATCGGCCTGGCAAGGCAGGGGCAGTGATTTCCTGCGGCACACGGCGAGCTGGGAACATAAATTATTTTTAGCCAGCGCGAGCGGGACAGCCTGGGTACCCACCCCAACCCACAGCCAGGACATGGAGACCCAGTGCTCCCCATGATGGGGAAGGCAGGCCAGCTCGGGCACCCCCATCCAGGGATGAGGCTCAGCTCGGGTCATGACATGCCCATGGCGCGATCGTGGCACCCTGAGATCACGGGAGCACATCCCACTGGGGCGATGCCAGGATGCTCAACTGCACCCAGATGTGGCTGGGTACCCGGAGGGTCCCTGCCCTCTCTGTGCATGCCCAAATCGGAGCTGCCGTCCAAGCGATCAATCAGGGTGGTGCACCCTGTGCTGTGAAGGCTCCTCCAGGGTGAAATGCATCTGAAAATTAAAAAAAACCAAAATCCAGCAAGCCATACTTTTTGTGTCTTTTGCAATGTGGAGGGCAAGGAAGAGGGGAGAAGGAGGTGATGAGCTGCGAGCCCCATTGCAGAGAGAAATGCCACAGGTTGCGCAGCGTTCCCATCCTGACCAGGCTGCAGAGCAGAGGAGAGCTGCCCTGAAATAAAGCAGGAATTTGGGAAGACAAACAGCAGTAATTCACACTGCTCTGCTGCTGGAGAAAGATCCCAGAGTCTCCTGGAGCTGGGCAAGGGTGCCTGCTCCCTCCCCCAGCAAACAGCACTGCTCCCCTGGGCACCTGCTCTTTCCGTAACTTTTTATTAGTGGTATTTTATGAGCAAAAGAGAAGAAAAGCATCTCTGGCAGCTTCAGGAGAACAGAGGTGGGACAAAATGTGCTGGCTGCAGGAGCTGCTGTCCCTTGTCACACTGGAAAACAGTCTGGCTGTGCTGGACCGGCTCCTCCAGCCCCAAAACATGAGCCCCAGCACCCATGGAAGATGCTGCCCGGCCCCTGGGCTGGCAGAGGCGCTGCTGGTGGGGGCGGGGCCCCCCAAGC